TGATACATGATGATGATGATGATAACCACTTACATTCACTCCATTGTGGTTATAGAGCTCTCCTGGCTTGGTCAGTTCACAATTCCCTCCTGTTTCTGAAGCAAGATCCACTATAACAGATCCAGGCTTCATTGATTCAACCATAGCTTTTGTGATGAGTTTTGGAGCTGGTCTGCCAGGAATCAAAGCTGTGGTGATCACAATATCTACATCTTTACACTGCTTGGCAAACAAAGCCATTTCTGCTTTGATAAACTCTGGTGACATCTCTTTGGCATAGCCTCCAGAGCCTAAAAACAAATGATGCTTTAATGATGAAATATCAATTTACCATTGCACCCCCTTGCTTGGCAAAAAAGGCATAGGAGTAAGACCTTTTATCTTATGACCTGTACAGCCTAGAGGTCGTTACAGGGTTCAATCTATGAGTTAGCTGTGGTCTGATGTAGATCAGCTCAGAGGTTTTTTCAGGGTTCGATCTGTGGGTTAGACATGCCCTGATGTAGATCAGCCAAGAGGTTGTTTGAGGGTACGATCTGTGAGTTAGCCATGCCCTGACTTTGATCAGCCCTGAGGTTGTTTGAGGGTATGATCTGTGAGTTAGCCATGCCCTGACTTTGATCAGCCTAGAGGTTGTTTGAGGGTACGATCTNTGAGTTAGCCATGCCCTGACTTTGATCAGCCTAGAGGTTGTTTGAGGGTACGATCTGTGAGTTAGCCATAACCTGACATAAATCAGCCCAGACGTTGTTTCAGGGTACAATCTTACCTTCTCCAGATTCTTCAACACCAGTAACCTCTAAAAACTCAGCACCAAGTGACTGGACCTGTTCTTTTACGGCAGCCCGTGTGTCAAAAGCTCTGACGATTGCCCCCATGTTCTTTGCTGTTACTATGGAAGAAAGACCAGCAACTCCACCACCTGTGAAAATAGGGGGAAAACACATTAGGAAATCTTTACTCTGACAACAACAAAAGTATCAAGTTAGATAATAATATAACAGTTTTATCCAGGGAGGAATACAAGAAATCTTCTAAAACGACTGGTCACAAGCCTTCTTTCCTCCCTTCAGTAATGACTATTTGGATAGACAATGATTTTTAAACAATTTTATATCTCTTTAATTTATAAAATAACAAGTGCACAAAATAAATTAACAATATATACAGTATGAGTGGCCATGTTGTATCAGATATGCAACCACGAGTCGTAGCCGAGTGATTGTATATCTGATACAACACGGACACGAATACTGTATATGACTTATCAAACGTCTAGGTTAGTTCCTTTGTATTTCACTAAAATTTTCAAAATAAAAGTGAATCTGGCCAAGAAAATCCAACTTAAAGATTATGCAAATGAACACAGTCTTGTATCAGATTTACAACACTCTTCACTCGTCGTGATTTCTGTTGTGTTTTCCTCATGAATCATTAATGAGTTTGATAAATATATATACACTCAATTGAAGAATAATTATTGTTGTCAGGTTCAGAAACATAGAACATAGAAGCTAAACCGACTACATAGATGGCGCAAATGAATAAATTATAATATAATTATGTCATTTCCCATGTGCCAATACGGTCTCAGCTTTTATGTTCTATGTTTCTGAACCCGACAACGATTCTTCAATTGAGTGTATATTGTTTCATTTATTTCCTATGAAAAATTCAGAGAATGGGCAGAAAGAATGATGTTAGCATTTTAGATACTATCTTAAAATTAGCATTCCGACAAATCATAGAGTTCATAAAAACTTTGTTTAAATTTTGTTAATAGCCATATAGACCTCTCAGCTGGAAAAAAAAAAAAAAAAAAAAATCATTAACTCTACATTGATTGACAGTATTTACCAATGACTAGGACTTTAGCTGGTGGGACTTTGCCGGCAGCAGTGATCTGCCCAGTGAAGAACCTGCCGAACAGGTTTGCAGCTTCAATAACAGCCTTGTAACCAGCGATGTTAGCCATGGAGCTCAAAGCATCGTAGGTCTGYGCCCTTGAAATCCTAGGGATACAATCTACTCCAAATGCAGTGATTTTCTTCTTTGCTAGTGTGTCTAGGAGGGCCGTGTTCTGTGCTGGGTATAGAAAGCTGACCAGTTTCGATCCTTCTTTCATTAATTCTGTTTCTTCAGGAGCAGGGGGGCGAACCTTAACAGTAAGAGTAAACCAGTGTGAAAATGTATCCCCTGCAGATTTGCCCTGGGGGGTACTCTTGCCCGTTTAGGATAGGGATGTGCCGCCAAGCCCTTTGAACACTGACCCTGTTACAGAGTAAAATCACTGAAATTCATACCCTGTTCCAGGGCAAGATCTCTGAAAACCATACCCTTTTCAAGTAGTGTGAAAATAGATACCCTGTTCCAGAGAGGAAAGAGCATGATTTCAAATACCTTGTCCCAGAGTGAGCGCAATTTTATATACCCTGTTCCAGAGTAGAATTGCTGAAAACCATATCCTGTTTGGGGGCACGTACCCGTATAGCAAATATAGGGGAGTACCCCCCCTGGGAGATTTGCACATCCCCCTTTCTAAGCACACAATTCTCGACTTACATGATTTTTGCAGAGAGATGGAAACCCTCACGGCAAGGTAGTGAACAACACATCAAACAAATTCTATAACATATGGCATCCACAGAAATTGAACCTGTTTCTCTATGGTGAAAGGTGTATACTTCTGCTATGCCACCCTTCAACATCCTCACTGGTTAAATTAATAGTTGAGGCCCATTTTAAAGATGTTTTAAGGTTTATGTCAAATTTCAGAACATATACACATATACCTTAAGAATAATGTCAGAACTGCTATAGACATCTTTAACGCTCTTGATCTTTGCCCCAGCACTGATGTATTCTTCATCAAGAAACCTAGCTCCAACACCAGCACCTTCTTCGATAACCACATTAAAACCTTGTTTAATGAGCTGGCTGACAGCCGTTGGGCTTAATGCAACTCGTCGTTCATTCTGGAAGGTTTCTCTTGGGACACCGATGGTCAGTTGGTCATATGGTGTCAGTGGTACTGCTGATACTTTAGCATCATCTTGAATCAAAAAAACCTCATTAGAATAATTATTATAACATCTGTATATTAGGAATATAAAATGGTTCACGTTTCTATATTGTGATATAAACACTCTGGAATTTGCAGTGCAAGAGAGGAGTTGTAGAGAAACATGAGGTGTCGCTGAGTGTTTTTTTGAGTGCTTTACAGCTCTCCAAGTGTTTAATATCACAGTATATAGACACCTCTTACATTGCCTTAAGTTTATGAAATAATAAAAAGCATGTTTTCTGTCCTCTGATATAAAATACAAAGGCTTAATATCTTAGCCTTGTATTAGCCCATATTATAATAAGAACTTTTTATTCTCTATTATTGAGGATACAAGAGATAACTCTTGTTGTTTAGTCATAAGATGTACTGTATGTAGATGTACCTTTGGCCTGGCTTGAGCAAAACCTAGATGCACCTGCATACAACTTTGGATAGAAGAATGCATCCTGGGAAAACAATAGAAACCGTAGCAATATTACATTTACACTAGGTACCAAAAAACAAATGGATGGATGGGAAGGTGGGAGAATGTATATATGCTGGCCATGGATAGTGGGTGGATAATGGGTATAAGGACATATATGAATATGCGAGTCAGTAGATGGATGGGTGGTTCAATGGATGGATGGATATATTGGTGAGTGGATGAATAGAAGTATGGGTATAGTTGATCATCTCATATGGTGGTTTTGACAACGCACATCTCAAAAATATCTCACCAACTCTTCACTTACTCTGGCTATAGGATTTTTTGGTGTGAAGACATACTTGGAAAGACATCCAGCTTTATGCTTGGCTCCTACAAAAAAAAACATTCATACTTGACAGCTGTACCAAAATGACATATTATAGCATATATCGACACTAGATAATGCAACACTCACCTCCTATTGCCTGGAGGTGGCACTGTTTTAACACTCTTACACTGGCCCTTAGAAACATCCTGCTTCTACGAGAAAGTAGTTGAAAGTTACTGCTGTTGGTTACCAGCACGGTATTATCATGATAGATTTTAGAATGCCTTGTTGCATAGTAGACCTCAGCATCAACAAAAAAAAGTGGAATTGCAGCACTTCACTTGCCAACAACTAGTTATAAATATCTTTAAACATAAGTGGACACAGCGCAGGGACGCAATTCCCCTCAAATAGTTTTCATTAATGATCTATCAATCATTCTAAACATAGGGGGCATAGCAGGGGTGTGACCTGTTGTCAAATATCTGATTGACTATTAATATTTTTTATTCATTATATATTTTAATAAATAATCTATTAATAAAATCATTGGTGTATCAAGTCACTGCATAGCTTAATCATCAAGATCTTTTCAACAGAATACTTTGGAAGCCCAACGAGATTCGATTCCATTTTTAGCACGTGTGTTTACGTTTTCCGCCAAAACTACACGTCATTATTCTACAAATGATCTTGGGAATATTCCCAAATCAACAAACGAAAAGTGTCAAGACGAGAAAGCTACAGCATTGTGGATGAATTGTTTCCAGTGCTGACAGAGAAGAGAACGCTACTCAAGGACTCTTTATATGTTTCCTGTGTTTTGAGCACGCGGAGTGGATCGGAGTCCAGAACACAATCAAAACCCGCCATAAACAATGTACAATGTACAATGTGCTTGGAATTGCTTTTAATTTAGCAATCTAAATTTCACAGCCAGTTTCACCATGAAAATATATGCTTCAAGAATTTTCAAGAATTATTATCTTTTAAAGTTTTACTAAAAGGAACATTATTTGCAATAAAATATTATGGAAGTCATGTGCATTTGTTGAGAGAGCGATTTCAAACATTTTTATAAGGAAAAAGCCCAAAACAGCAAAACATATATCAAAACACAGTTAAATAGCATCTTAGATTCATAATTATTGGTATTTAATGCTTACCTTGAGCTAAGCTATTTGGTAAGTCCTGAAAACCGGCCAAGAAATAAAATTTTGCCGGCCGGTTGAAGACTACAAATCTCAAGGACTGAATCAGGCTTCCTCGTGACTTATGCGCAGACGCGTAACACAGGAAGACCGCAACTCATCTTCGTGTAAAGCTGAGAGCAAGTTATTGATTTGGGTGGTGGGTGCCCGGGGGG